TAAAAAAAAAAAAAAAACTTTTGTATCCAAAATAGTCCTTAAATAAACCAACATATTGAAAAAGATATTAGGATCAAATTACAATATGAAAAGCACCTGATCCCAGATGTTTGAGACCTGCCTGGGTAACACAGTGAGATCTTATCTTTTCAAAAAAAAAAAAAAAAAAAAACTATAGACTTGTGTATCTATTTACCTGCTAGCCTCCTCTAATTGGATGCTTAACAGGCATCTCAAAGCTAACGTCCACAACTGATACTACTCCCAAAACCAGCTCCTCCTGTGGTATTACCCTATATCAGTTAACAGCAAATCCATTGCCCTGGTCACTCAGGCCAAAAAATCTTAGTCTTATCCTCTACTCGTCTTTCTTTCATACCGTCTGTCTAATCCCTTGGCTCTCCCTGCAAAATGTATCAAAAATTTGACCACTTCTCATCACCTCTGCTGCCATCTCCCTGGTCCTGGCCCTCATTCCCTCTTACCTGATACTGCAATCAGCTCCTGACTGGTCTCCCTGCTTCTGCCCTTGTTTTCTCAATCTATTCTCAATACAGCAGCAAGAATTTTCTGTAAAGACAAGGCAGATCATGTCACTCCCTTGCTTGAAACCCTGCAGTGACTTCCCATGTTACTCGGAGTGTGAGTTTTACTGTAACTTTATTAGTCTCTACGTGATGTGGCTCCCCATCACCTCTTAGATCTCATCACTTATTCTCTTCCCTGATTTTCTCTGCTCCAGCCATGTCAGGCTCATTGCTGTTCTTCCAACACACCAGACATGCTCACATGAGGGCTTTTGCCCTTGCTGTTCTCTTAGCCAGGAAACTCTTCCCCGAAATCTGCATGCCATGTAGCATCTGCTAAACGGCAGCTCCATATGTTGGGGCGCCTGAGCAGGGATAAGGGAGTGAACTGAAGAGGAAACAATGGAGTCAGGTCCAGCACAAGAAACAAAATGCCCGCTTTGCTTCCTCTGTCTTCCTCAGGTACCTGGCTTCAGGAGCTCACGGGGGGGTCTCCTGTGGGGCGGGGGGGACTTGCCCCACTGAAGTTTTTCAGAAAATACCCACCTCCATGCTAACCTCAGAAGAGCCTGAAGCCCTGAAGGAATCACATCTCTCTGGTGCTCCTGCAGATCTCCCAAAAAGGAACCACTCCCCTGACCTTGAATGTGGTGGTCCTCCCTACTCTGCTCCTAAAGGATGTAGGGAAGACTGGGTCTCTTCCAGTCGTCCACTCACCACATATGTATTCCTCCCGTCTCCCGCTGGGCCTAGGCCCAGGCAGGGTAAGCCCACCACCCGCTCCCACTCTTCTTAACCTAGCTTCCCTTCCTTTCCTCCCCGGCCCTTTCTAGCTGTTCCCAATCTGCAGGCCTTCCCCACAGGCACACAGGTGGAGAAAGGCTGAGGACTCTGCGGAGAGCCTGGTGTGGTGGGCTCTCTGAGTCATGGGGAGAAGGCAAGGCGGCTTGAAGGAAAGGGTTTGAGGGTGGAAGGATGCAGAAGGCCAGAGACAAGAAGACCGGAGGAAAGACAGCCAGAAGCTGTGATGACATGGTGATCCAGAGAGAAGTGGAGGCGGCATCCGCCAGAACAGGGGGTCAAAGTCAGAGGCAGAAACAGCAGCGAGAAAAGCAAAAGCTGACAGATGGCAGGAGCCACAGACAGGCAGCGCAAGAGAGAGGCAGACACGCAGAGACAGACCAAACAGGAGAGGCATCAGGAGACGCGGGAGCAGCCGGAGAGGGAGGTTAGGGCGAGGTGCATGCACCCCAAGAGATGGAGAGACAGAGACCAGAGCGAGAGACACGCACGCGGACAGACCAGAAGGCTGCAGAGAGGGCGAGGGAGAAAAAAGCGTCGAGGCGGGGAGTGGCGGGAAGCGGCCGGGAGCGGGGCGGGCGCAGCAGAGCGGGCG